GTTGGGAGCTGCTGACAGGTTCCTCACTGAGCTGCAAAGCTCCCGCCTCAGCAAATTTTGATGAAATGCGGAGAACCTTTTGGAAGCGGAGACACTCTTTGTGGACATTTGATTCAAAGTTACCATGAGGAGCTTTCAACCGGTCATGAAACAGTCTCAGTGTAATTCTGATGCCTTTATATGACGTATATGAGTTCACCATCTGTGGCCACTACAGAACTGTAGAGCAGGATTTCTTTCATGAGTTGGTGGATATGAGCCACTCAATACTCGCTATCGCAGCCACACTTCAGGTGCAGGCGAGAGCTGCTCGATGGAGCGCTAGCGTTGATGAAGCCATCGAGTGTTTTTTTCACCAACCCAGATTGCAGATGCCGTCTGTAGTGGCTGCTCGTGAGGTTCACAGGTCGTCGCATGGAGTCGGCATTGTATACAGGACATATGAGTTCATTCTGACCCTGATTTACACTTTCTGTGAACAGAGAATTGCAAAGAGCTTAACAGAGCTTTCAATAGCCTGGTTACTAACAACATGAACCAATTTATCTTTATATCCCACCCCTCTTAGTTATTTAGCCCGGGAAATAGGCAAGTTGCAAGACAGAGAACGGACGGCTGACTCATTTAAAAACAAGAATCTTGTAAAAAGGGTCTTGAATTTGCACATGGCAGCTGTATACATGATATACTACAGTGATTCGGCAAACGATCAATTCCTTTAGCAACTGTTTAGAATTAGAAAAAGGGGGAGTTGATCAAAGGTGCACACAGAGCAAATTATGGCATTTTAGATATTCAGATATTTTAGGGCAATATTTCCAACCTGGTCTCACAGAAATATGTGAAATGACCTCGACCTCTTAGCAGAGCAGTACATGGTGGTGGCACGTGTAAAATGACATGTTTGCACCACAGAAACAATGCCAATGAAAAGTCAATTTGGATCGTTCTTTGGTGGACACACAAATTAAACACATCTTGGTGAAATTGCAACGGTCAGAGTTACGTTTGTGACATTTTTCATAAACGTAACTGAGCGGTTTTGCTGCATAAACTTAAATTTACGTACATATTTTAAGGCCACTCCATTATTTCTATGTTTTACTGCTCTCAATGCTTCCACTGGGGTAGCAGAAGAGCCACAGAACATACTGACGGGAGCTTTGCTTTGTAATCCCATATTTACATTCATGACAGCGATTGTTTTTATGAAGACGGATTTAAACGGATTAAACGGCTACGTTTGGTAAAAAGCTTAATTACAACCACACGAAAACAAATTATTCTCTCAAAAACATAACCTGCAAGCAAAATAATTTAGGATGCACAACTAATAACTGCAGTGCGTTTTCTTTTCTTTTTTATTTATCTACATCTTATTTTATCTATATGCATTTATACGTGCTGTTACTGTGCTTTACATTTGATTGACTTAAAATGAAAGTTTTGGTTGCATTTAGAGGTTGCATTCTCTCCATCCATCAATTCCATCCACTATTGTTTAAGATGAAAGCATGAAATGTTTTGTGCCGGTGAAAAGGAGCTCCGACATTCAGTTTGCAGAGCGGTTACCACAGCGACAGTCTGACCTTTTCCCAGCTCTCTCAGTAGATGGAGGCAGATTAGAAAAGACAAAGCAGGAGGACGATTCGCTGCACGTTATGAGACTGCGTGTTGACTTGCCTTGTGTGCACCTGGGTCACCTTTCTCAGCTAATAACATGAGGGGGTAAAAAGGAGAAGAAACAGCCCTGGAGCAGTCTTTACCTTACGCTCATCTCTTTGTACTACGGGGTGTCTGGTGGCAATGTAATGATCAATGAATTCAGGCTTTTTCTTCTGTTCCAGTCACGGTGCTGTTCATACTGCTGGGAATATTTGCAATAGAAGCCAAGCTAGCAACTTTGTGGTGCAGTGCATGGAGCTAACCGTTAGCTTCAGCAGGATAACATGCTCACAATGACAATGGATTTACATTTGTTATAGCATCAAACCCAAAGTACAGAATATCACTAGTTTGGTCCTAAACAAAAGCTATTTTACAAATGTTGACCTGATGGTGTCTCTATATAAAAAGTGTATCTAGGACCAACTTAATGGCAAATCTACCAACGGTCGTCAAGATATTACCCTAAAAAAACTAAAATGTCAACCTTATGGTAAACCCAGAGGAAAAGTCAGGGGATCACCAAAGTTATCAGGCGTTATCCTCTGGGGACCATGAAAATCAGCAAAAAAATGTCACAACAACCCAATTAAACAGTTGTTGAGATATTTGAGTGTGGAAGCGTTGGACTAACAAGTAAAAGATCACTGCAATCTGAGCTGTGTGGAGTGCAGTGATTGATGAGCACATTAACAGTATGTTGTATGACAAAGGTCAGAGTTCAAACAGAGAGAGAGAGAATGAGTATTCAGAAAGCAGACAGAAAGTCAGAGACATCATAATCAGTACCAGCGTTTTCAACATTAAATGGGGATTTTTTATATTTCAAATGTAATAATTTGACTGTGTTTAACATCCAATCATATTAATTCATGCCAAAACTGTTTGCAACTGCAGCTCCCTCAACCTCCTCCTTATGTGCTGTATTTCTTTGTTTTTTAGTGTTAACTAAGATTAAATATTCACGTGTGTTTTAGTTCTGTCAGCAGAAGCAAAGTCACACATTCCCATACAAAGCCAAAACATATTAACTATTATCTTATGTTGTCATCATTCAGCCCACGACCCTTTAGTGGATTTAAAAGCTCAGCCTTCCATAGCATATCACAGCTGTGAGGACAGACTGGCTTATTGTTCACAGACTAAGATACCAGTTGGGGTTAAAGGTGACATGTTGCACATATTTTGGCAGTGACAGGATAATTCTCTCAACCACACGACCTATTTGAGTGGAAAATGCAGAGATCACTGCCGTGTCTGCACTGTAACCTTCTCTGTCAACATAAGCATTTGTAAAACATGACGATCTTGTGATAGCTCTACTATATAATACGTATATTCAAGCTGACAAATGCGTGGAGAAAAACAATCTACTTGTGGCAGCGCCTGCAAGATACTGTATGTAGACTAATTTGCTGAATCTAATTTACTCTGTTTCTATCAAAGAGGGAGCTGTGGGTTGGAAGATGGAGACAGGCCATTTACTTTCCTGTGTGCCTAACAGTGTGAGTAAAACCCCAATGAAACAGCTCCAGGAAGCACATCTTCAAATTTTCTGCTCCGGCACGAAAGTAGAGTCACAAACTGAAAACATGCATTGATCCAGCAAAACGTAAGTTACACTCAACTGAAAGTATGGATTTTTTATGAATAGTGTAATTGTACAGTGTGGTGCAGGCAGATACAATTTGATTCCCTTTAATCATTAATGCTTCCTCATTCATAGGTGGTAATGACCAGCTATTTTAAGCATCCCGCCCTGAGCAGCTCTAGTGCTCTTTCCTGATTGGCTGTATGGTCACAACTGGCAGGAAGTCAGTAATAGAGTGACAGTCCAGGGCAGGGACCCACTCCAGTAAGCATCTATTTCTCAAGCCAAGAAGCACAACTTGGCAGCACCGATAGGACATTGATCCGGCAATGACTTGGGTGTGTGAATGATGGTTTAGGATTCAAGCCTGCACCCAGAGGGGTTGCGTAATACCAAACAGAACAGTGTGTGTTGCCTGAGAGAACTGATGGAGCAGTGGGAGCAGTAGTTGAGGTGAGATATGGCTCTAAACTTTCTGTCTGTCCCAGGAGGGCTTTTAGCCTCTTGCTAAGCATGCATAGCTGTCCCGGGCTATTTACAGAGGTGACTTATGCAGGCCAGTGTAAGGTACACTGCGCCTTTGTAAGAAGACACTGCTGCTCTGACAGGCAGAGGATTACTGTGGTGAATACAGTGGCTGACAGTGGGGCCCAGGTGCATCGGCTGCAGGGCCGGCAAGTAAAGAGTTTATTAGATTTATTTGTCCAATAAGGGTTCCCAGAGCATGCATTGTCTTTTTCTACTGCCCGCTGATTAGCAGCAGTACTGGAGTAAGTTCAGAGTTCATAAGCACCTCAACAATGGCAGTTGAAGAACGAAAGGCTTTTAAACTGAGCTGTATGATGCACCATATCTGCAAACATAATCTCCAATACAAGACATAGGAAGTACAACATATTCAAGTTTGTCCTGGAATTTTGCTCAATATAGATAAATTTAACTTTCATTTGAATATGGATTTAGAGGAGGTTTTGTACTAATGTAGTATCCAATCACAGGAATACATCCATCTATGGTATCTTAGATTATTTGGTTAGCAATGACTGACTTGGTCTGAACCTGCCGTGAAACGCTTCCTGAATGCCATGAAAGTGAATAACTTGCACAATTACCAAACAGACAAAAAGGAGATAAGTGATGTGTGAGGCACTTTGAGGTCTGTCATTTTATTGGCAGTCACCATACAGACTCTACAGTAGCTATATGAGCTATAGGCTATCCTGACTAGCATGATGAAGGCCGAGGAAGGCTTGGAACAAACAAGGTTGTACAAAGTGTCCTGTGATCACATCTAAAGGCAAAAGTGTTTAGCGCTATTCCGAATGGCCACATTGTGGGATTTTCTGTTACAGAGAGTTGAAATAATGGTTGGAATCATTCTCATAGTCAGTGCTTCCCTCCAGCCTGTCTCCTGTTCCAACATTTTCAACCTGCCTCCTTTAGGTCCGCATCTATCCAGTCATACTTGGCAGGCTGCCACACCTAAAGGGTCCACGAAACCCCAACTTCTCCTCGCCCCATATTTTCCACCTGTTCCGCGTTGCCTTCTTCCTTACCTGTCAACATCCGTAAACCCACTTATCTGAAACTCTAAGTGCAAAAGCCATGACTGCATCCAGGAATCTCAAACTGGAGCCAAATTCTCCATGTGAAACCCTTCCCTTCTTTCCCAGCTTCCCACTGTGACCCTTGCCCCACATGGGCCCACCAATCCATCCACTGTCATGCTTTGGCGGAGACCCACCTCCAAAGCCAGCTCCTCTATCTGAAACTGCTTCATGGCACTGCGGTTCCCGTCCACGTTTTTGTGGTAGTAGATCACCATCACGTCGTACTTCTTCATGACGGACTTGTAGTTCTTGGCATTGAGGTCATGGACGCGGTCTTTGCCATCGTACTTGGGGATCTCCAAGCCAATTTCCCCCCAGGTCAGGGTCCCCAAGGATAGGAAGACCCCCAAAAACACCCAGCCCCACTTCATGGCTACCTGGTGGTCACAACGCCTCTTCTCAGAGCCTTAAGTAGAAGGGGAAAAAATACGCAAGTTGGTGTTAAGCAGGGAGAGTTAGGAACACAGTCCGCTTCCTTTCCCCACCGGCTAGAGAAGAGCAGGTCTGACGGTGACAATCCCCCCTTTAAAAAAGAGCTACACGTGGTTTTGCTAATGCCACTTGCCAAAAAATGGGGGAGGGGCCCTTTTTGGGGGACGCAAATCAGTATGTGAGTAGGTTGAGATCCCACTCGCCCAAGAGCCGTGAACAAGCCAGACGGGCTGCTAAAAAAGTAAGACGACAGCGAGTGGGATGGGGGGGGCTCCTGAGCAGTGGTCCGAAAAATAGCAGGGGTAGTAAGATGGGAGGGGCCATGCTTAGGTTATACGGCCACCTGTTTAAAGCCGTGGCTATCAAAAGGGACAGTGGTTGTGTTGGGTGTTTGGAGAGCCACAGATACCAGCTCAGTGTCTTGGAGGACTGAAGGTATAGATGGACGTACGATGAGAGCTTGGGGAAATAGGAGCTCCAAGATGCCATTCCCATATTAAGTTTTGCAGAGGAGCCGGACTCTCGCTAAAAATAAGGCCTCGTGTGGGACAACGTTGTGGAAAAGATGGCGTCCATGCAGAGGGTCAGAGGGTAGCCTGTTGCTTCATAGGCGCAGATGGACGGAGACGAATGGAGACATAGAGTCGTGCACACAGTTGTTGGTGCATCTACGGCTAATCCAAGCAGGGTGTGTGTGTTGTTGAAGTCGCACTGGAATTGAATGGCTTTAATAACTGATTGTTGTTGCTATAATAGTAATTCATGCAAAGAATTTAGTGAATATTTAAATTTCATCTTTTTTTTCAAGTTGCTGGACTACTGTTTAACACATGAGACGGTGTTGACCAGTTTTACCAAAGTCTTTGCCATAAATATGGATAGTCAACAGTCAGATTATGGAGTATTATGTTGTTTTTTGTAAGATTACAACAGCTGCAACCGCTGCACTCTCATCCAGTGTAAATATTTGACCATTGTTTGACTTTGGCAGTAACTTGATAGAAGCACAGATTGGAAACAGGGTTTGAAAGCATATTTATTGTGGAAAAACTGGAGCAAAAATATGGGAAATGATAACCATTCTCTGGTGTCAAAATTGCAACTTTACCTCGAGTTAGCTGTAGTCTAATTACACTTTGTACCGACCTGATCATAAATGTAGTTTAAACTTAAATCAGAGGCACCAAGAAACCCAAGAAATGTCATGAGCAATGCTGTCACGAGGTTATTATTGTTTGGATGCATTCATTTCTGGTCTCTCGTCAGTAAACCGTCAAGAGTTTTCTGAGTTTAATTGAAAAAAGAGGTGATACATTATGTGTCTTGTGGAACGGCTGATGCACCGATGTCACTCTCATATTTCTGTACATTCGTGCACGTGGAGCATATTTTGGAAGAGAGAAAGATGGATGTAAGGCGCAGTGTGAGATCTTGTCAGCTATTCATTTACAATGAGAAAAGGGAGAGGGCGGCTATTAATAACAATATGTAATATGATCAGCGCTCTCCTCCTGCCAGCATGGCGGGTCAGTGTGTCTGTTTAGATGCCAGAGGGGGTGTGGGGGTGTGGGGGTGGGTACTTGCTGGGGGTCTCCAGCATTATGATAGTGTGAGAAATAAAAAAAATAAAATTGTCTGTTTCGTAAAGTTCTGCGATTCACAATAAGTTGTTGATGTTTTTGAATATCTTGGATTAAAGGTAAAGGTTGAATTTGTTCTATAAAGACAATGGTTCTACTTAATCACATTAAAGGGGTAATCTAGAAATGTATTATTAAACTTCCAAGAAGTTTGGGGACAAAATAAAATTGTCAAAATCTGTGCAGTAGAAGCGGAAATGTTCTGGCCTTAATTACCTAATGAGTCAAACTCTAATAAAGACGCAAGAGAAGAACATCTTTTGTTAGACACTCACTGTCTGTTAAGTAGAAGAAGTTTAGCCCACACATCCATGTTTTCGTAGGAAATATACTTACTTTATGCTTGTGTTATTTTTTTTAAACATTTCAAGTTTATTTTTCCAACAAAAAAAAAGAAACAGCAAGGATGAAACATTCAACATTGGAAGCATTGAACTGATAAACTGGTGGGTCAGATAATACAAACTCAGTCAAACATTGTTCACACCCTCAGAAAGAAATAATGACTGGATGGCTTCCATTACACGTAATTTGGTTACAACTAAAGACTCATCATGAGTACATGGTGGCAGAGTTAACACAGACATAGAAGCACAACCTTCACTGTATTCAGCTCCTATCATCTCATCAAGGGGGGAAAGGTTTACAACAAGACTTTTACTGACATTTTCCCTTAAATGTTCACACATGTGTGACTCAGAGCCAGTATGCATATCTGTATGTGTAGATGCATGATTGTGACAGTGTCCTCCCCCCCCCCAACTGTTGCACCTCTGAGGTAAATAGCACCCTCCGCTGGCAGTTGCACTAATTATTTTCATCATTACATGTCTTCACCCTCTCATCCCTCCGTCACTCTCTTTTGAAGTCGACTCACACAAGATGAGTAATGATACGAGCATCTGTACAGTTTGTGCCGAGGTCGTTAAACTCTGTGAGTGTGTGTGTTTGTGTGCTGTTTCCACGGCGACTGGAGCGTTGACTAACACAGCTCGCTTCGTCAGATGTGAAAGCACAACACACACACACACGGTACAGCAAATATATTTCATTTTGTGGATTTGAAGCGGTGAAGCGAAGAGAATGAAGTCCATCTATCGGTTCCAATTATTATGTTGTTAGTTTGGTTTAGGAAGAACAGTCTGAAGATGGAGAAAGAAATAAAAAAAATAAAAGAGAAAAAGGGGGGGCCCCCCCCCCCCCCCCTGAGCTGAGACGAAGGTGGAGGATGGAAACTCTGGGCTGAATCTTCCTGGACATCCTGAAGGTTGTGGTGCGTGGTGAGGTGGGTGCGTTGAGCAATGGTGGGTCTGAATAACATTAACAGAATGACACCCAGGGATGGATTGGCTCGAGGAACCGCTGACCACGGTAAAGTCAGAATTGTGAATGCAGTGATTTTGACAGCGTGGGTGAAAGAGAAGATTGGCCTGCAGGACAGGCTGCTGGCAACATTTCAAATCAACTCGCTCCATTCAACTTCGTTGGATGTTATTTTGAAAGACAGCATAATGGATTTTTTTTCATGGGCCTTCATCTTTAAAATTAAGAGCACGCTCATGCAGCTCCCATCCTTGGATCAGCACAACGGACAGCAGCCAAAGTGCCAATCAACGATAATGAGGGAAACTCTCAACATTGTTTGACCAAATATCTCTATCGATATTGCGTCGATTTTGTAGGGTTGACTTTTGATGCTTTTACAAAATAGTTACACAATGAGATAAATAATCACCCGTAACTTGGATACAATAACTAAGTGGTTAAAGGCAAATAATAGAACAGCCAGAACAGTCTGGTAAGTTAAGAAAATGATATAACTTTACTGTAATGCAGCCTTTAAAACCAGAAAACATCATGTTCATGTTCCTCTTCTGAATCCCATAAACATACAGCAGATGTTTTCATAAAAGATTAGTTTGACTCATAGTTTATGTAATCTGACTAAGATGCCAGATCAGACCCAAGTCACAACCCCACACACACACACACACACACACACACACACACACACATCACCACCTCCCACCAGGACCGGTCTGGCCCTGGTGTCCGCTCCCTCTCTGTCCCACACCCACGGTCCGTATGCTGGCAGAGATGTTGCTAAGCCTCTCCACTCTCTCCTGCTCCGACACCGACACACACCAACATGCCCAAATGTTTGTAAAAGAAATGATGCACGTAAGATGCACGTAAAAGCAACACTGGTAAAAAAAAAAACACATAGATGCACAGTAGAAATAGATGTAGATGTAAAGATAAATATATGTAAAAGAGACTCTCAAAAACACACACACACACACACACACACACACACACACACACACACACATCTCTCTCTCTCTTGGTAAAGTGGTGGGTTGGCACTGTGAAACATTGGCCAGCCTCTCAATGCTGGTGTCCAAGCAACCAGAGAGGGCAGAAAAGACTGCTCTCACACACACACACACACACACACACGCACACACACACACTTGCATGCACAAAGCACAGAAAGATTGTATGTATATATATATATATATATATATATATATATATATGTATGTGCAAAAAAATCTTTGACATGCAATTTTATATCACTAGCAGTTGAGGCTTTGACATCTCCAGGAGAATGGGGGGCGTGTGCAGCGGCTGTGAGTGAGCCACATTCTTTACAGTTCAGAAGTCCCGGTCTCTCAGGTGAGACACTCTGAGCAGCTGTCAGACTCCACATGTCTTCCAGGACGGCACTCGGCTGTGAATGAAAGGGCAGTGCAGTTTGATTTTCATGAAAGATTCAATAGCTCACTCACTGTCCACGACTGAATTTTGCCTCAGTGCAGTTCAAGAAATGGCAGACACAATGAAATATAGCATGCTTTGAAATGCATTTATGTTTCCTTAAATATTTCTATATACAATTTTGTGTATAAATTGCAAGTAAGTATTATTATATATGGTATGATTACCTTTTCTGACACTTGTTTCCATCTTTACAAAGGTAAATATCATAAAGCCGACTGTAGATGCTGCTCTTGCAATGCTTCATATAATGTAATAACTGGGGATAAATTTGTATCCCCTATTCATTTTATTTTTTATCCACTTATTTAATTTTTTTTCACTTTTAAGGAAGGCTTTGCCCATTTTTTCTAAAAGATGAAAAATATCCCAAAAAAGAAAGAAACTGACATCATTCCTGAGATATGGGGCTGCAATGCATCATGTTTGCAGTCGCCTTGTATTTTTTTTTGTTGACGCCGTGGTTTTAGCACGATACTGCTCCTACATCTCCAACTCCTTCGGGCTGCGCAGAGTGAATCCCCCAGTCGCACATCACCCACGTCGGCACACACGGGACGACGTTTGTATCCACTGGGAATATTTGGCTGGTCAGTGAATAAAATGTGATCCTATAATGCAA